AATTTTTGGAAGAGCTGAACTCATATGCTAGCATAACACTGAATATCAAGAAGATATCTGAATGACAAGAGATGGTTGAGTTAAACCCCTGAGAATACATGCAATGCAGGCATAGGAATTGCATTGCATTTTTTTGTTTCACAGGTCACGTTTCAAAGCTTTTATTTCTGTTCTACAACCATCGCTCTTATCATCTCTTCCACCATCGGTCACACCGATCTTGTGTGACCTGTACTACATCACTGTACTCCTTCCCACCTTAAGAATCTGAGCTGAAGTACTCAAAAGTAACACTATATAAAATACAATGAGATGTTGGTTTGCTAAGTCCCATTATCAACACACAGGGTATGAGCTTGTATAAATAAAGATAATTTAAAAGATAAGGATTATGGGTTTTTTGTTTGGTTGTTTGTTCTGCTTAAATAACCTTCCTGAGGTCAATGATTTACTAGGCTGGAAGCTCTATAGGTCAAACATGAACAGGAAATAATTTCTTTGAGTTTTGGTCTCAACTCTCTCCACATTTAATTGGATTAAACACTTCCACTCTCCTATAATGCAATGGCTTCCTTCACTTTTATTCAACCTTTTTCTTCTTGCATGAGGAAAGCAGTGGAGAATAGAGAGGCACAAAGGCAATTTGCTGCAGACTGGAAGCAGAAAAGAAGGGAGAAAGGCAGAAACTAATGGAAGGCAAGAGAAAACAGACAATACCTGGCAATAGAGCAGGCTCTCACAGTTAAAGGAGAGAGCAGGAGCCTGCTCTAAACCCCACAGTTGAGACTGAAGGTCTTTCCTTCAGGCACAGAATCTCTGACCAGACCATCCACAAAGGAGGGGGACTAGGACCATTTTTCCATCAAATCCTGTCTAGTCTTCTCAGTAACACACCCCACAAATTCTCAAAGCAAGGTGCTTGCCAATTTAGTATGAATACCAAAAAGAATGGTTACTGCTGTGAGTACTCCCCATCCTCACATTGAAGTCAGCACTTGTTGCCTGCCTGTACAAATTTTCACTAGTCCAAACTACACACGAGTGAAAAACCTTTTCAGTCCTGCACTGGACAATGTCAGCTCAACACACCTCCTCTCCCAGCTACAGAGACATGGGTGGCCCACTCTCACAGCCTCACCCAAATGCAACTTCTTCCATAACATCCACATGACCAACTTCAAAACCTCTCTCACTGCTCGGCCAGAATTCCTCAGCTTGTTCAGTCTTCTCCACTTCATTTATAATGCACAATAGTCTGATGCTGCTTGCTGCACAGTGAGAGCCTTCATCCAGCTTTGCTCCTTAACAGAGACCTCTAGATGAGTGCCATCTAGTGGAGTAAAATCCACCAGACCTCACTCTGCCACTGTCCATCAAACACAGACGCATAGTATTTCTTTTGTTAATCTGTTTCAAATATAACCTCTCTGACCTACTTCCTACAGTCATACTGGAACACAGTATCTGCTACAGTCAGCTTATTGATAGCATTTCACAATTTTCCGTACACCATAACCTGACAATTACTTCATAGAACATCTTCCCCAAGAATGCCAAAGACTTTTGAGAGTGCAAGTGACAGATAGTTCTTCTATTTTCTATTTGGCACCCTCCTTAGTTTTTAAATCACAGACACACGCAATTGATTTTATTCAATCCTGTCTCAACATCCCGTGACTTCATATTCCCATGTAGCACCTTTGGTAGAAAACTGAATGGTTTTCCCATTATATGCATAAATGCTCTCGGAGTTTTAAAGAATAAATAACAAAATGGGCTGAATTTCCACTGTACTCAGATTAGGAATAGATATCTTTTTTTGTCTCAGTATGGTCAATAATTGAATCAATGAAAGTGCATATTAAAGTGCAATACACAATACTGTAAAAATAGCTTTCAATCATGCCAGAGTATACTACTACTAACACTTACCCTGTTTTTCTAATATGCTAACCATAGAGTTAGGAACCATTCACATGAAATGATGGAAGCGTGACAGGCAAACCTTTCTGCAGCTGATGTGGACTGACTGCTGCGACATGGTCCTGTTTCTTTCTCTCTGCTGTCACTGTCCTCTCAGAACTTCTATTTCAATCACCCAACACAACTTAGTGAAATGGTAAAAACAAACAAGCGAATTTGTTAATCCATGAGAACTACAAAGATTATAACCTCCTCATAATCCTTTTCACTGCAGGGGAGAATACAGAATGGCTGAGGTCGGAAGGTCATCTGGTCCAACCCCCCTGCTCAAGCAGGGCCACCTAGAGCAGGCTGCCTAGGATCATGTCTCCAAGGAGGGCAACTCCACAGCCTCTCTGGGCAATCTGTACCAGTCCTTGGTCACCCTCTATTATTGAAAAAGCCTGCCTCTGTCCTCTTTGCATCTGTCCTTCGGGTATTTATATACATTGTGTCAGCAGTCCTGGTTGGTCAGCGGCAGTGTTGATCTGCCCGAGGGTAGGAAGGCTCTGCAGAGGGACCTGGACAGGCTGGATCGATGGGCCAAGGTCAACTCAGAACTGGACACAGTACTCCAGGTGTGGCCTCACCAGTGCTGAGTAGAGTGGAAGGATCACCTCCCCCAACCAGCTGGCAATACTCGTGCAGTCCAGGATACCATTGGCCTTCTTTGTGGTGAGGGCATGTTGTTGGCTCGTGTTCAACATGGTGTGCACCAGGACCCCCAGGTCCTTTTCTGCAAAACTGCTTTCCAGCCAGTCAGCCCTCAACATGTACTGGTGCCTGGGGTTATTCCACGTGCAGAACTTTGCACTTCCCTTTGCTGAACTGCATGAGGTTCCCACCAGCCCAGCCTGTTGAGGCCCCTCTGGATAGCAGCACGACCCTCTGGGTGTATCAGCCACTCCTCCCAGTTTTGTGTCATCAGCAAACTTGCTAAGGACACACTCATCAACACAGATGACTAATGAAGATGTTAAACAGAACCAGATGCAGTATTGTCCCCTGGGGTACACCATTAGTCACTGGCCTCCAACTAGACTTTGTATCACTGATCGATACCCTCTGGGCCGGGCCGTTCAGCCAGTTTTCAATCCACCTCACTGTCTGCTCATCCAGCCCATACTTCATCAGCTTCTCTATGAGGATCTTATGGCAGACAGTATTGAAAGCCTTAAAATAGAAGATGGAAAATACTCTTAAATCCATAGCAATCTCACTTAGTTAAAGGCATAGGACTCTGACCTAAAATCAGTATGTTACAGTACTCTGTGAATTAGCAAGCACAATGTAATACAAAAAGCAAGAATAACATAAAATATGCCGAATTTATATACCTAAAAGTACCATTTAACTTTATTTTTATATTGCATATTATGTTAAGAAGTGTGTTCTGCATTTAAAATGTCATTGCTTCTGCAAAACAGGAAGGATCTCATCCCACATCCTTCAGCTGTCATCCCTTTTCAGAAAAGGAGAGCCAGTGTGGCATCAGGAATCTAATTAAAAGATCAGTACGATTCTCCTTCAGATGGTCCACATAAGAAGCGACAGGAAACCGATTTGCTGCCACTCAGCACTTCCAGCTTGCTGAACCTTGAAGACTTAGTTTAGAAGCCATATCAGCTTTGTCTATTGTTTTTAGTTTTCTGCTATTTATCTGCAACTTTGACTTAAACAGCCTAATACAAGAACAACATTTTAAAATGCAACTTGATTAGGCTATATATATAGAAACTGTAAAAAAAACAAGAATGGATCTAACAAGAACAAGCAATGTATGTCATTAGATGAAATCAAGAACACTTAGCTGACTCTCGTCTCACAAGGACTGATGGGTAAACATCCTCTTAGTACCATAATGCTTTGCATCCAAAAATCACTAACTTCTAGGCACCAGCACTCCCGAATCCCACACAATGCTCCATGAAAGACACGAAAGCTAGAAGCTTGGACACAATCCATCATAAATCATAGAATATTTATGAATGAGTAACTGGAATTTCATTTGTAAGGCATTGCCACAATTTCCAGTGAGCCTTGGCATTATGCTGAAGAAGAAAATAAAAATTATGCTATCCTCATCATTTTCAGTGACCTGGCAGAAGCCAGACTGACTAGCTATCAATTATACACTTTGCATCATAAGCCTTAATAAGCTATGAGCATCTACGAACTAGCTCCTTGTATAAAGGGGCACACACATTAATCTCATTTACAGTTATATTCAGATCAGTGTAAAGCTACTGATTTTCCACACTCAAAAGAAGATAAGATAATATATTTGTAAGTATTGAGTTACATTCAGGATTATAACCTGTGCTGAAGTAAATTCGATTTGCTATGGAAGGATTATTTGTTTCAATCAAGTAAGTAACTTACTGCAGAAAACTAAGTAAAAGCTTACTGATCTAAATAGAAGTTACTCTAGTTTGGTTTTCTATAGGCTTCTATCTAGTGTTAGAAACAAGATTCTAAATCTTGACTGACACTATTTTCCTGGTACTAGATGCATGGTAATTTTCCAGGCCTGGTACACAAATTTAGTCCAGTATTTTCTGCTTTTAATAAGGCATTTAGTACAAAGATAGCAAGGTGCCTTATTAGGATAAGTTTGTTGACTTGTGAATGCTCACGATAAAAAGAACAGCAGCCATTTGTTCCTGTGAAAATGGAGAATTGATTATTTCTAGAACATCAGTGTATCTAAAGAAAATTTACACTGCTTCTGACAACTTTTGCACTGATAACAAAACCCTATCATCTTTATCTTCAGAGCATCAGCAAAGGCTATTAAAATGTATTACACCACCTCCTACAGATCTAGAGTACAATGCTGTTGCAAACGAACCACCCTTATCTCCCACGAGTCAAGGCCTGCAATACAGAGTAGACCCCTGACTTGTCAGCTGTTTGCCAAGTAGGCTTTGGTCCATGACTGTCTTACTGCAAGATTAAATCAATCTCACTTCAGAGTAGGACAGGAAGTGTTGCATATCTTGTAAAATTAAGATTATAGTTTGGAAAATCTCGGGGTTTCCCCTCAGTTAGTACAGCGTATAACAGAGAGCAATAGATCTAAGAACTATATTTTGTTCAACTACTAGAACATGCATTGACCATGCTTGCTCACCTTTACTACTACTTCAGCTTCAAATAATCCAATTTTCTAGGACAGTCGCTCACACACACACAAAAAAAACTATAAAGCATGCTTACAAGAATATTGGTAGTTCTGAATTCAGCTTCCATAGCATTTGCCCCAATAACATAGAGAAACAAATCCATTTTTTTTCCAGACTGTTACCTCAGTACAGTCCCCCAAAGAAAGATTTGACCGTTGTTCCACATGGTAATTCATGCAAATACATAAGCCGAAATTGCAGAGAGATGTTTTTAAAATTAAAGCAAAAGGCTTGACCATCAAGCTCTCAAAATCTGGAAATTTTCATTTTGGTATATATGATTTATCACCTGAGAACTTACAATAAAAATAATTCTCAAACTATGGCAACACTATCGAATCAATTGTTCAGTGATCACAGCTGGCCCAAGCCTTTTCAGCTCAGTAATCTTTCCTGGCCATTAGAATGCCCACATTAAAAAACATACCTGTCCTTGACGTCTTTCATAAGCTGCTGCAAGTCAATCTCCTGCTTTCTCAGGTTTCCAAATGAGGACTGGTTTTCCACATAGCCCTTCCCTCCAGCTCCCAGGCTGATCTTTCCAAATGAAGTTTCAATACTTCCTTGAACAAAATCTTCAAACTTCCCCATATATTTTGCAAAGTCAGACTCCACAATTACTAGGAAAGCAATAAAAGTAATTTCTACCTGTGAAGAGAAGTGCTAAAACGGTCCTGAAGTGATTGGAAAAACATAATCTTACAGAAAATATCACAAGCTAGCGAAGGCAAGGAACAGTATTGAGCAGGTAAATAATGAAATTTACAGCTCTGTAACTCTTACTTCTGCTTCCTCCATATTTCCATCGTCTTCGCCCCTTTTATATTTCCACTATCTTTTATATTTTGCCATTTTAGGAAAACATAAGGTGATTGAAAAGTTGAGCTCAGACGCTATGGAAGATTTACAAAGAATGATTGAAACTTACTTCAGCTACAAAGAAAAACTACAAAGCAGACCTGCTTGTACAATTGGGTTAATATTTTGCCATTATCTTGACATACCTCATTATAGGGCTGTCCCAAAGCTCACTGAAAACCAATGGAAGCATCTAACTGGCTTAAAACAACACTGAATCTTATACACCTATAAACCAAAGAACTGACTCAGAATCAGCTAATCTTCCAAGCAAGCTACAATTAACATCTAAACTAAACATCTGTTTTCCTGTATGGAACCGTGACATGCCCAGAAATATGGGATTCCAGATCATTAATCCTAAAACCTGGTTAGGACTGCTGCAGTTGGATGAAGAAAGAAGTACAAGGGTCAAGCATTTTTAACAGTCTGTGCAAGAAGAAAGGAAGCAGTGGTAAAACTTGCTTGGCCTTGCCTGTGCAAGCATTCCCTGGGCTACTGTCACCAATAACACACTGTTTATCCAGTGTTTTTTGACCTGGAGCACAGTATAGTTTCACGCTACTATCACATTCTGGAATCCCCCAAAAATATTCTAGGAGAGCTCCTGTGGCTGCGGACAGCACGGTTATTAAACATTAGGACTGTACGGCTTGACAAGCTTCAGCACTCAATTTCAGTAGTCTATCTAGGCAAAACATTTTTTGTTTAAACGTTTATTATTACTGGTTTTAGTTAAACGAATAGTCAAGTGAGAAAAGATCCAGTCATCTCATTTCCACGGATGGAGAATACTTCAGAGCATTCCTCTGAAAGAAGCCCTCTAGTAACACAATTGAAATAATAACAAGAACGATTAGGCTTTGCATTCTTTTTATCTGCAGTAATAGTGCTGCCCGAGTATGGCTTTACCTGGTTTTATCGGTTTGTCTTCAGTAAGTACATCACTCAGGGTGACTGTCAAGAAATGATACTTAGGCTTCTGCCAGCACCAGAATTTCTTCCTCTTTGTAACTATGCTCAGAAGCTGCAGCTTGTCTGAGGCATTCAAGTGGGAGACAGGGATCAAGTCACCTCCACTGTCAGTTTCTCTCACAAAATTCTTTGTTGCTTTTGCAAACATCTTGAGGAATCAATTAAAGTCTGAAAGAATACATTCATTTTTCAACAGCTACAGTCAGAAAGTATAAATATTTACATTGTTACTTGAAGTTCTTCATAGCATTGGTATTAATGCAGGAACAGTTAGTGTTTTCACCCTACCTTCTCCACTCTGAGCTGGGAATCATGACAGTTTAAACCACTTATCCCAAAGTAAAAAGGTTCTCACAGTAACAGACAAAAGAATTTTAATTAAAATTTTAAATAAGCAACAGTGAATAAGCAAAGAACAATGCACTGCAAACACGATATGAAAGGCTTAAACATTACAATAATAATGCATGAAATTTATGATCATGCAGATAACGAAGAAAGAAAATAAATGTGTGAGAAAATAAATATTCCAACCTACAGCTGAAAAGTTCCTTCAAGGAATGCTCACAGGTAATTAATCTGTTAGGGAGGAAAAAAAACTTAGACAGCTTACCTGAAGTTCTAAGAAAAAGCACCTACTAATGAGCACGCTGCAGAGACCGGCTGGGATGACAAGAGCACCGGTGCAATGGGAGAGGACTTTTGCCTCCCCGCAGAATCTTTCTTTTATTACCTAACATAAAATTATCTTACTCCATATAAGGAAATTGGGTATTATTCATACAAATTATCTTTATCTTTTTAATAGTGAGTAAACACATATAGGGATAATAAAAATTATTCTACAAAAAGCAACAAGTATTTGTGCTGGTATCTTTGTGACTAAGTTTTGTTTCTGAACTACGCCCCTGAAAAGTCCCAATTCATTTTTTTCTTTCTGAACCTTTTTATCTTCAATGTTTTCCAATTTTCTATTTCCCATTAGCATAACTACAGCTAAACTGAACATGTGTTATTTGCAACTGTTATTCGTATCTGCTAAACAGCTACATACATTATCTTATTCAAGCTTTTAAATGTCTTAAATTAAAAAATATTGGCATCTCTTATTGTGTAAGGTTTCCTTTATCCCAAGCAATGCACTTTGCTGTATTTACAAGGAACTTTTTCTATATGGGAAACTGGCTAAACTCACAGGAGAAATTATAAAAATGACCATTCACAAGTGCTAAACACACAATTCTAATAAACTGATTTTTGATCTTTTTAAAAAAATCTTTTTCAGTTTTTCAACTCTGTGCTACTTGATCTAATGATACTTCCAGAATTAAATCAGTTTTTTAAAGTTGGCAGTATTCCTTTGAATCCTCCAGCTGACACTGACTGGAAAGTTCAACTAAGATCGTAAGATGTCTTAGCTGGGTACCCACACGTTCACAATTAATTACCTGTCTTGCTCCGCAGAGATGTTAAATTTGTCATTTACACATACAGGCCAGACTAAGTTAGAAAAGACTTAAAAAAAAAAAACTGGTATTGCAATGGGTACTCAGGACTATTGAGATAAAATGGAAAACTGAATAACGATATTAGTGGTTGGATCGCAGGCTCCATGTTTTAGCATCAGCTGGAGGACAGAGGAAAAAAAAAGCCTTTTTGCAGATTAGCAAATTTTGCAGATTACCTTTCCATTAGCTTTTCCCAAATCCCATTTCAGATAATATTTCACACAGTATTTACCAATTCATGTTGAGGTTATCTACCTCCTCTTAGTTCTCTATGTGAGCAAGTAAGGGTGTTTCCCAACACCACCTGCATCGAAAGGATTTGAACAATGTCAAAGTCACATAACATTTTACTGAAGAGTCTTCTGGGACTTTCATTGTAATTGTGGCTGCAACAAACCAGCAGCACAGCCCCAGCTATATGCACTGGGAATATTTCCACTGACTTTCTTGTTCTTTGTCTTTTTCCTAAACTCTGAACTGAGATTGATTTTTCGCATTCTTAAATTTCTCCTCCTTAATTTCCCTGGTTTTAATCTCAGTGAGAACACTTTAACAGAATAAGCAATGCAGCTCCACTGCAGCAGAAAAAAAACCCACAAAACAAACAAACCAACCCCCCAACAGCCAAAAAAAGTAGTTTTCTTTTTCCCTAGGACTTCTTTTGCATGACACTGTATTTCACAACCAACCAGACGACTGTTTTGTAATGGAGGGGACCGTCAAGAAAATTCTCATTGCCTGCATTAGCTGCTCTTCCCCAGCATAACCTTTCTTCAAACATTTCTGTGCTTTACATGACTGTTCACTCGTTCTGATCCCATTCCTACGTAACCAACTCACATGGGCAGTGTGTCTGAAAAGAAAAAGGCCCACCAATTTCTGAGGAGTTTATACTAAGACAAATTGCAAAAACCAGTTCCTATGATTTGGCATCGTTACACACTCACTAAATCTCATGAGAAAACCCATTAACACCATTCTATAAAACTTCCAATTTGTGGTGGTTCGTCTTCGCTCCCAGCCACCATGCTTTTGACTAGCAATAAAGGACATCTGGGAAAGGCCACAGAGCGCGTATGAGGACTGCTGAGACTCACCAGGCAGGAAAGATGGGACTGTCTTCAGTCTCAGAGTGAAGACGTCAGCATCTCCCACGCTTCGCTGTGCTGGGAACGTCTTTGCAGGGAGCATATTTGCTTGTGGAGCTGTACCTGCAAAGCAAGAATATTCTATCCAAATTCCCGTTTATGTTTCTTTGGATATAGCGCCTTTAACACAAGTTCTAAAATGCACCCAAATATCTTGTTTCACTAGTTCACAAAACAAAGACGTAGAGCAACTAAATATGCCCTTAGCCAACATCAGGGAGTTAAGACATCTACCAGGATTGACGGCACCCTGACTGGACATGGAGAGGTTACGGACACAGCATTAAGAAAACTCTGCCTTTGGAGTTTCTTCCTCTGGAAATTTTGTTAGAACTGTGCTTGGTTTGGTAGAATTAAAAGGAAAGGTATCAAAGCCAGTAGGAAAAGCCTGTCAGAGTGAATTCACTCTTGCAGATTGATAGCTAGGCGTGAAAGCAGAAAAGAAAGGAGGAGTACCTTCCTTGCCTACCAAGAAATTTAAAATTAGCCTGAACCTGGGCTACAGGAGGATCATTCAACGAAGGGGATGAGATCAAGTGAAGATATTTACAGCAACTTCATTGTTTACTTAAACAAATTTATCCTGCTTCTTTCCTTTATCACAGCTCCCTAACTCAATATAGTGGGACATTAGAGCCAAAGAAACATTTTATGAATAATCAATGTTTACCTTTGTCAGCTCAAAAGCAAGTTCTCAACAGTTGCCCGGTATTTCTTACATTCTGTATACACATACACTGACCTTTACAAAAAGTACAAAAAAGGGTTTTTTTTTTCCATTTAACATAAGATTACCCAGCACACCGGGCACAGTACACAGGGAATTTGGGAAGAGGGTGACAACTGGATGGCCAAGTGTCAGCACATCCCTTGCCAATCCAAGTTGTAAGGAAATAGAGCCCCCGAAGGCCAAAGGTGATCATGCAAGAGCTGCAGTGTCAGAAGAGCTGTTAGGCATTAACTCTGCTTTGCAGCAGCAGTAATGGCCTTTGAATCCTAATGAAGCCAGAGTTTACGCCGAAAGGCAACTAAAGCGTGGAAGTGATGACAAGCAGGACGTGTGTTTTATTACAAAACCTTATAGTTATTTTCACCTCCTTTCTAGATAATTTAAATTAAAAAAACAGCCATAAAAGCTAATACGCAAAGCCTAGCAGGGCTGTTCACACAACGAGTTTCAGTCCTTGAATGTATGTGGTCCCCAAAACCACACCAAATAAATTTTAGCCCTGGATGTAGCCCTTTTTTGTGCCTCGAGGACCTTACAGCACATGCCTCCAAGGACCTGACGCCGCACAAAACCACAGCGGCTCGATGCACCCAACAGGGACGTGGTGGCCTTACCCGGGGCTGGCGGGTGCCATCCAGCAAGGCGGAGGCATGAAGGCCCAAGATGGGAGCCGCACACTTCGGGAACGGGCCCGAGGGGCGAACAGAGACAAGCTGCCCTTGTCCTCGGTGGACAAAACTGGCCATCTCACCAAGATATGCGCTGAGGCGGCTCAGGCGGGCGTCCGAGCACGGGGATCCCCCTCAAATGCTCCTGCGGCCCCGCCGCGCCACGCTTAAATCCCCTCTCAGAACCACCACACGTGAACTGCAGCCATTCAGCCTTGGTCTCCCCCTCGTGAAGCCGGAGGGCGCATACAGGCAGAGAGGGAAGGAAAGCAGGACTGCGGTAGTCAGCGAGGCGGCCGCAGCGGCTCCTCCTGGGAGCGTGACAGGGTCGGGCGGGGCGGCGGGGGGCACAAAGCGCGCCG